AAAGGGGGGCCCCCCCCCCCCCCCCCCCAAAAAAAAAGAGGATGAAAGCAAATTTTTCACTTCTTCAAATAATTAATGAGTGACATCAATCATACAATTTATTTGAACCTGCGAAAGGTTTTGTTCAATGCTACAAAACCTGCGTCAGCTGCGATTACACAGCGCGAAAGGGGATGCTCCTGACTGCGGTGACTGAGGCCAGACACTCCCACCTATGGTCAAGAAAGTTCGAGTGGGACCGTGCCGCCTGGTCAGGAAAATCCGGGGGGACGCTCCTGACTGCCACACCGTTCATTCATCCATCCATCCATCCATCCATTCTTTCTTTCTTTCTTTCTTTTCTTTTCTCTTCTCCGTGCGTGCATGCATGCATGCAGTGTATCTGCCGCACACACGGCCGAAAAAGAAAAGAAACGACGAGCAACATGCGTATTTTTTCATTTTTCATTCAAGTTCACTCGCCTGAACCTGAACCTGGACCATGTCCGTGTTCTCTAAACCATCACTTTTCCCCACGTGAACAGAACGTCATTCGCTCACGAAAAAGAGGGAAGGAAGTGAGCCAGCCAACAGAAAGGCAATTAATCCAGAGAGGCGAGTACAGTACTGTACAAAACCCGATGACGACCACAAGCACAACCCAGGAAATCAAACGAACGAACAAACAAACAAATAATCCACCGACCGCTTTCTAGCTTCTTACCGAACAGTTACGGTACAGACTTCCGCAACATGCAATCAATTTTTTTCTTTCGCATCGTTGCCCCTCACTGTTGATCTGTCACTCGCAGAAAATGAATAAAGCGACGAGGAAACATTCGAAAAACTGGAGGAAGGAGCAGGAACGAGTTAAAGCCGAAGACAGTACAGTACCATTCTTTCAACAATCCCTTCGAACCAGGGTTCAACAGCATTCAAAAAGGATTCCCGGACTACTCTTACAGGTATTCTTTCTTACTAAACTGTTGTTCTCTTCAGTTTAGGCAAATATGATTAATTTTGCATACAGATTCTCTTTCGTCCTACATTACAGTAATTGTGTGCAATTTTTCATTTTCTAAAGATACAAAATGGAGCTTGCGAACATGAAAAAATACCACAATAAATTTGTCCATGAAAATCTCTCTGGGTTTTTTTTTTGGTATGGAGGAACATCATTCTATCCATCCTCAATTTCTTTCAATACTTGTCTTTTCAATCTAGTCAGCATTCTGATTCATGAACAATTATTCGAGTCAAGTTAGGCAATTTAAATGAGTCAACTTCGGGATGTTCATGTACGGTATGTGCTGCAGATTGCCTTGTATCAAGTGGATGAGAAGCCTCATTTTTTGCGTTTTTGCATCAGTTTAATCTATAATTGGCGCATGATATTTGGCACATGCATCAGAGTAATCCTCGACTAGATTGAAAACACAAGCATTGAAAATACAAGAAGCACAGGTAAATTTAAAATAACCAAAGTTTAGTAGGAAAAAAACTGTACAATTTGTCGCACTGTTCGAGTTGTCGCTGTGTGAGTTGTCCCATAACCTTCAAAAAGTGACTTCAAGCAGCTTCCACACAGGAAAACGTTTCATTCAAAGGCGACGACAATCTGGAAGATGCAAGTACTGAATGTGCACCCACGGCACAAGTTTAATTCGGACAGAATCGATACACACTGAATAAGGTCAATGACAGCAGGAATTATGATGATGAGCACTCATCATCATCATTATTATCATTGTGATTGCTGCGAAAAAAAGAGACAAGAACAAATTCTATTACATAGCCAGCCCTATTACGTCTAATACGACGCAGTGCTGGACTGCATTAGCCCTGTGGACGGGCAGAACAAAAAAAAAGAATAAGAATAAGAAAAAAACCGAAGTGAATCACGGGAAAATGCAAAAAAGGAGTAATTTCTATTAATAATTTCAGGGCGATTCCTCCAATTTATTGCGACGCGATGTTCTGGTCTCACGCATCCCCCGTATTCAACTGTCAGTCAGTGAGTCAGACACTTTTTGAACATTAAAAAAAAAAAAAAACAAACAAGAAAAATCCCGATAGAATACTTCTTGCTTCATCCCGGCTTCCCTCCCAGTGTGGAATGAAATGCCACCGAGGTATCGTGTCCACGCTGGACACAGGCCATAAAAGTGTCCCGAGTATGCAAGAAAAGGCAAGCGGGGAGTCAGTCAAAGAATGCCAAGCTGCATTTCTGGCTGAGGAAAAACAAAACAAAAAAAAACAAGTCGGCCTTCTTCTCGTGGCATCGTCGGGCACGAATTTTCTCACGTCCCAAGTTAACGACGGACGACGTCGATGCGAACGAAAGCGACGCCGACCGAGCAGCAAAGGACACGACGACGACCCGAGGAAAAGTATGAGCTAAGTCATCGTCGTCGTTGGTTGCACGCGTGAAAGAAACGTCCGGCATCTTCTGAATCGGTATTCCGATCCATCGAACGAAGGCTTCATTAGTCGTCGACATCCACGCGGATGTGGACACCGCATTCTGGCCATTGCAGCCCGAGTGCAAGGTATTAATTTAATTATTGAACCGATGTAAAAGAGAGAGAGAGAGAGAGTAACTGAACTACACTTGATCACATTCAAACCCTCTCGTTCTTCATCAAACAACATTTCGTCTCATGAAAATACTGTGTTCCCGGTCACTCGACCGATGCAGACAATCTACACTTGTACTGTCCTGTACTGTACTGTACAGTAGAGTGTATAAAAATAACAAGGGGTCTCGTCGCTCAAAGCAACGTGAACAGCGACACCTCGAGAAGAAACTCCAATACGAAGACTCGTGGACTGACTTGGGTCTGATCATCTGCTAGCAGCTCAGCCACACGATTCCATTTTAATGTACAGTACTGTACTGCATTTTTATCTGTTTTTTTTTATACCCCCGCAAAATCCTTCACGTGGATTCCGAGATGACTTCGTCGCTAAGGCCTGCATTCGGCGAGTACACTGCTCAATAATACAGTAGTA